GACAGCAACTTGTCTGTTCCCCTTCCCCCAATTCCCCAGTGCTGTTCCCATTCCCCAATTCCCCAATAAAAAAAAGAATATAGGAGCGAAAGAAAGGGAAATATAAGACATAAAGTGAAGGGAGGGACAGAAAAGGAAAATGGAGAACCCTGTGCAGCTTCTGATGCCAATTGAAATTGTCGCATGCTTGGAGCTTTTCTGCCCAATCAATTGGTCAATTGATCATCTTTTATTCCACATTCATTGTGTTAAGAGAGTTGGGAGTTGATGATGACATACAAAGAGATAAAAGAAAATTGTTCCTTGCCTTCCAGAATGCCAAGGGAGATGAGATGAAACATTAAATCCAAGGTAAAATAGGATAAGTGCCTCAGCTGACTGTGAAAAAATGTGTGCTCCAAAATAGTAGAATTAAACTATGAATGTACTTTCTAAACAACGGGCCAAGTCATAGGGGATTAACTCTCATCTTTATAAATATATCAAATTGGAGTTCTCAACCAGTGATTGTGAGAGTCAAAAACATTTAGTCACTGGCTCTCACTGATTTGATTCTATGGATTCCCCCACTGTGCACAAAAGCAGTAGATAATACTATTGTAAAGAGATGTTCCTTGACTTGCTCAATATAATATACAATATAAAATATTCAAAATAAAACATGTGATATAAATGTCACTGGTGCAGTTATCATAATAACTCTTGTTTTCATTAAAGTTTGTTGATAAAACTATTGAGAAATTTGTATTCTTGATCAGTGCTCAGGAAGAGTAGATGGTACTAAGTGGGGGTGCATGGAGATAGTACTATGAGAACCAAATAAACTGGGCCTACATATCTGGAAATTACTTAGTCACCTCTTTTATATTACACAGTATAGAGTACTCTGTAGACACTGAGAAAGCTAAATGAATGTACAGACTTCCTAGTCATCCATCAAGTGCAGTAGGTCAGGCTCATCTTCATTTCTGGGTTTTATTCACAAAGTAAATCGAGGTCTGGGGTGCTGTGGGATACAGGTCCCTTGAAGAACAAAGTAAGTCCTTAGGGAAAGTCAGGCTCCACTTATAGTCCCATCTCTCAACTCAACATTCAGAACAATTGGTTTTTGAGGTTGAATAATTCCTAGAGTATCTAATTCCAGAGGGATCTGCAAAAGTGAAACAGCATATGAGAATCAATTAATTATGCATTGTCAACAACAGAAGCAAAGTGGACAAGATTCATTAAGAACAATAATGACTTGCTAATATATAAAACCTACTTTTAGCATCATATATCTTACTTATTCAATGAGCTATGTGAAGACTAGATATTGAAAGCATGCATCCATCCATTCATTCAACAAAATATCTATACAGCACCTATTGTATACCAGGCCAAAGACAAAATAATGTTGGTTTGTGTTTGTTTTGGTTTACATTTCAAATAAAAAGGATGAATTTTAAAAATTTAAATGAGATTTTTAGGCATTATAGCCAATATTTTGAAAAGCCATATAGAGTTAATTTTGTGCATGTTGAAACTTGCAAGGTAATCCTGAGTACATATTACACGTTTTAATAGTGTGGGCCATCCTCGACTTCGAGAGTCAAGTCACCTCTCCCAATGGAATCCTTTCAGTGTCATGATGGGAAGGGTTCTCTGTGAAGCATTATGTCTATATTGTAACATTTTTTGGCTCCCACGTGTAGTAAAAATGGTGAACTTCTGAAGGCCTATATAGTAATTTAGCCAATAATTTTAGCTACATTCTCACCAAGTCACTTCTTCAGTGTTGGAAGAGCCATGAACATAATAACCTTCTGATCTCAGTTGAGAGAAGGGCAAGCAAATTGTCATGGAGGGTGAGAAGCACCAGCCATGGATGACTGGGAGTTTGCAGGTAGTGTCTGGTCCACCCAGTTATGCCAGAGGCCCACTTCCTCTTAGGGCTGAGTTCCCCTTTTGTACACATTTACGGGATTGCTACAAAGCTTCTCAAAGCCACAAATAAGTTGAGAAACATCCCTACCCTCCTCCTCTTCCCTGAGAAAGCTTACTTAAGGGGAGTAGATGAATATTAAATGCATGAGGCCTAGAAATAGGCCTTGTTATGCCTTGCTTAATATGAATCAATGGCAACTATTTTCTATGTTCTTCAGAGGAGAGATTCCAGATCTTTCTATTAGTGTAAAAGCCTTCTATTTTAAAATTTAAATTTGCACGTATATATTTCCCCTGTAAACACAACAATACTCATACAAAATGCACATTGTAAATGTTATTTGTCAAAATTTTTAAAAAGTTTCAAAAATTTATATCCAAGCCTCTAAATCAACTGCAAATTACCCCTGAAGCATTTCCTGCATGAGTGCAAGAGAATTTATGAAATAAACAAAATGAGATGCCTTGTACTATTCTTAGGCACAAAGAAAACATGGAGAGCCAGACTGGATGATTTAACAACACAGTATTAGGTGAGGTGGTACAACCAATGATACCAGCCTGCAGTAAGCAATAACAGAGCAGCGGAGAGAACTGGCTCTGGACTAGATCGGGGTGGCTCCTGGAGGGGCTTTGGGATTTGAACTAGGACTTGAGGGATGCAAACAGAATGGAAGGAGAGAGAGAATAACATCACAGAGTTCTTATTCAGATGTAAAAGGACCCCAGCTTGAGTGCAGCAGGGTCCCTAGGAGGTGGGATCAAGTAGCCAGGGCAGCCTTGGACTGTAGGAGTCCTTCACATCTGGAAGAAATGTTTTAATCAGTGGTTCTCAACCTTGGCTGCACATGAGAATAAAAGGGAGCACTGTTAAAGTCACACAGGATGAATTATTTTGAATCTGAGATGACCTAGGCATCAGGAATTTATAAAATTCCACACTGATTTTATGGAATAGCCAGTAGTTGAGAACCAGTGCCAGAAGGGCTTCTGTAAGTTCTGGTGGAGAAGAGATAACCTTTTGCCATCTTTCAGTAAGCTTCATAATTCGTTGTTCATAGAAGGACCTGTCTCTATTTGCGAAAAACTGAACAAGGTGCTGATTTACAGCCTCATCTGAATTGAACGTTATACCATGCAAGGAGTTTTGAGGAGAACGAAAAGAGTGGAAGTCTGATGGCGCAAGGTCAGGCGAGCATGGTGGGTGTGGCAATACATCCCATCCAAGCTCCAATAATTTTTGACAGGGGATCAAGCTTGTGTGTGGTCTTGTGTTGTCGCGATGGAACACAACTTCTTTACAATTAACAGGCTCTGGATGTTTCTGGATGATGGATTTGTTCAAACCGTCCAATTGCTGACAGTACACATTCAAATTGATTGTTTGGTTCCTTGGTAGGAGCTCGAAAAACATGACATCTTTAAAATCCCACCACACTGAGAGCATAACCTTCCTTTGATGAATGTCTGCTTTTGATGGCGTTTGCGGCGAATCATTATGTTGGGACCAAGACCGTTTATGTACCACATTGTTGTCAACAATCCATTCTCATCACCAGTTATCAGTTGCTTCAAAAAAGGATCATTTTCCTCATGTTTAATGAGCATATTGCGATGTTTATACGCGCCGTCAAATGAACTTCTTTGAGTTCATGCGGAACCCAAATATTGAGCTTGCATATGTATCCCAGCTTCTTCAGGTGGATGTGAACGCTTGAATGATGGATGTGCAATGTTTCTGCAATCTCTCATGTCGTGTAATGTGGGTTTGACTCAATCAATGCCTTTATTTTGTCGTCATCAACCACGGTAGGTCTCCCTGATGGAGGAGGGTAGTTGAGATCAAAATCACCAGCACAGAATTTCATGAATCATCATTGACACTGACATTCTTGTAGAGCATTGTCACCGAAAATTTTATGCAACTTTTCACAAGCTTGACACGCGTTCTTCCCTTTATGCAAGTGAAAGAGTAAAATATGGCAAAAATGCACAGTTTGGTCTTCCATCTTCAGATTGTTGTAAAAACTCCAAAACTCAACCAAATCACTCAATTTTCTTTAGAATGAAGCTAGAACTGTCAGTTGTCAAATGACATAGCAGTAACATAGATGCGGATGACTCTAGTACTTCCAAAAATGAACTAGTGCCATTTGTCGCAAACATGCGTCATGACTTTTCCGACAATGCAATAGGTGACTTTTATTGCTGGGTTTATATGAAGCCACTGACTTAGCACTCCAGAGGTAATAGGATCTTAAAGGTCACAGATGATTTCAAATAGATTTTCTGGCCTCTAGAATAAATCACTAAACAGTGAATCAGCACATTCATATATATATGCATATATATCCCCCATAAGAAAAATCCCCCAGTAAAGCACTATGTGTGCAGAACGTTAACTGTCTGACCTGTGTTTCTTTGCAAGGTTTGAAGGAGAAATTCTGCAGGACTCTGACAACAGCAAGTTTCATGTTCATGAGAGCGAACCTCATGCCAATGCAGTTTCGGGGTCCAGTTCCAAAGGGCAGGTATATGTAAGGATTTATGCTGTCCTTGTTCTTCTTACTGAACCTGGTTCCACAACAGAAGATGAAAACAAGTTAATGAAACATAAACACCACAAGCCTTACATGTTTGGGGTTCTCACTCACACTCTTCAACCAGGAATATACAGGATCCTTCTGTGGGCTAGTCATTGAGATGCTGCTATGGTTATCTTGCTGTGAGAATTGTAAGCTACAGATCCTGTCCAGTCTCCTTATGCTATAGGAGCTTTCAGTTTCATTGACAACATGAGATGAAGGCTGTTTAAAGGAAAATTTATCTTTAAACACTAAAATTACATTCAGGGTGGTGACATGTTCACACTCAGAAGCACAAGGAGGAAGTGAGACTGACTGAAGGAAAAGTGGGTTCCCGCTTCCACTCAAACTCATGTTGGTCACATGCTCATGGAGGAAGGAAGCAGGAATAATGCCTCCCTTTAGTTAAATTGTTATTGTTTTGTTTCCCTTCCCTTTCCTTTCATTCCTTTTTCTTCACTTCCATCCCACCCCATCCCCTGGTCTCTCAGCTTCTGTCCCTTTCTTTCCCATATAATAGCATAAATCAGATGATTTACATGGGAATATGATGCTACTCTACTCTAATCACTGATTTCCTTGTTTGTCTGCTCCACTGGGCTATAAATTCCTTGAAGATTAAACCTATGTTCTATTTAAATATGATTACTCAATATTTTATTATATTAAGAAAATATGAAGATTTGTGAAAGTGTTCATGGCTTGTAGTTATGTAGTTTTTAAAGTCCTTATATTCTGAAGAGCATTGGAATATTTATAGATGGTGTTAAAAAACATTGCATCAGGAGGAGGTTGGCAATGAAGTGTGGATGGGACAGTGGACAGGTTGATGGCTGTTAGGCATGTAATGGGCACGCATAGATGCATTAAAAATATTCCATAGCCTTGTCTCTATAGAAAATTCACATTATCTATCTATCAAATGCACACATACCGATGTATATGTAAAAAATTCTCCATAATAGGCATTTTTTTAACATTTGGATTTCTCACTGCCTGGCCCACTTTCTGACACAGGTAAGCACTTACTCTCTGTTTGTTGACTGAATGAATAAAAAAGAAGTACAGTAAAGGATCTCTGGTTTCATGTTCATGAAAGAAAAGGCTGAACTTGGAGGAACCACAGAGGTTCCCTGGTCCAGGAAACAGAGGACTTGGTCAACTCTAGCTTCTTCTTTCAACAAATATTATGTGTAGAACCTATACTGGAGTTAAGGTATGAGGGCAAATGAGATAAGGTCCCTGCCATTAGGGATCTTATAATCGAGCTAATAAAAGCCTAGGTCCCAGCTCGTGCCTCTAATAGCTCATTCCAATTTTGCTCACCAATACAATAAATGGGAAATATCAGCTCTTTCCAGAGTTCAAGCTCTGCTCAAATCCAGACCTTGGCTCTGATTTCCCAGAAGAGCCTGCTAAAGACTCCCCACGCCATCCTCCCAAGGGTGTCTCAGACGTATAGAGAACAGATGACTTTGCTTTGGAAGAGTCACCAAATACTGAGATTAGGAGGGAGCTGCCACAGGACTGCAGCCACAGAGGTACTGGGGGCCCTGTTCACCTCCAACCTCGATGAGGCTGCTTAAACCATGAGGGATGAGGACCTGTCAGCCGCCTGCACTCTCACAATAATGCTGGAGGAACGATGGCCAATGTGTAAAACAATAGAATGGGGGAACATTGGTGTTAAATTCAGAGAGCTAAAGAGAGCAGCACAGAAAAACTTTAAAAAAAAAGCTTATATTCCTAAAAGCAGATAGTGGTTAAGTAAAGTATGGCATATGCATACAATCACACACATATCATATATGTATATGATGGTTTATATACGCCTGTTTATGATTGTTACATATAATAGGATGTTTTGGGTACTTTGCTATTAAATAATATGACATTCACAATAAAATAAAATATATTGCCATTTTAACTTAAAAAATATATGCATAGAAAAATGTCAATAGTGATATATATCACATTCTTAATGAGACCTATCTTAAGGTATTGGGACTGTGGACAGATACAGGTTTCTTCTAGCCTAGAGTTTGTAAAATTTTGACAACAAACAATAATCACTCTTATAATAAGTAAACAAACTTATAAAAATAAAAAGAAGTACAAATAAATTATTGTAGAATCATACACTGTCCTCTTACTAACAGACATTAGAATAGGCTCCAACCAGCTTGGTCAGGGTGGGTTCCCTCGCCATGGAGCCCAGTACCTTTCAGGACGGAATTCCTCAGGCTCTGGCCAGAATGCTGAATCTCTCTGAAGAACAATGCTTGGCACCATCACCACTGTCCCTTTTGGAATGAACACCCTATTGATTTCTACATCCTTCTTACAGACCCTCTCAATTCTTCCAGCAACTGGGAATAATCTGAGAGTTTCATTCACCACCATGTCAAGATACTCCATCTGTACCAGGGCATCATAGGTGGGAGGTGCCTGGGAAGAAAGAAACATTTTAAAAACTGAGATTTGGGTTCAACTTTCAACCCAGACTATGCAGTACTCCTGAACTGTTAGGAGCTCCAAAGAATTACTTATTTTGGTAAAGGACCTTAGGATTTATAGACATTTTTATATCTGTTGTGTCCTCTGACCTGCTCAGTGGCCCCCTGAGGTGTGTGGAGTAGTTATGACCATGGGTGATTGTTGGGACAATTCCCTAAGCAGGACCTGAAATCCCCCACATGACCATATAGCAAGTTTCTTTCTCATGTGTACAAATGTGACAAACGACTATGGCCCTTACTCCTAGATGAAATATGCCAAAGTCACTGTTTCCCTTCAAAAGAGAGGCTTCACAACTTTACCAAGGAAAGACAATGTGTAAAAAATCAAATTCCATGTTTAACATAGCGGTTTTTAGTTAAAAATCTTTGCTTGCATATATATATATATATATATATATATATATATATATATATATATATATATATATATATATATATGGAAGGACACTCTATATAGAAACTTTATAAATAATTTGGAGAGAAACTAGTTCCTTTTTAAACAAATATGGTAAAAAGAGGGTATGACCAGATACTACCAACATCCACAATTTCATTCTAGGGAAAGTTATAAAGAGTTGGCACCCCACTCAGCCCCATGCTGTCTTGCTAGAACATTGTCACTTCAGGGCCCAAGTGTAAGCTGTGAAGACCTCAAACAAGCCTCTCCAGCCCCAGAGGCCAGTATGTTCACACCACAAAGAATCCTAGTTTCAGCCAGATCTGAAAACTCTGTGGGCAATATGTGGTTATCACTTGGTGTTATATTGAAGAGGCAGTATTGTAAAGGCTAAGAGTTTGACTCAGGAGCTAGACACCCTGGTTCACATACTGATCTTAACTTCTATTTATGTGACTAGTGGATGAAAATTATTTCATCTCTCCATAGCTGAATTTTCTGATATGTTACATCGAGATAGTTAGAGCTGACACTTCATAGGTTGTGTGGCAGAGATATTCACTGCTTGCCCAATAGCTTTATAGTCTCCCATATCTCCAAGGACACTTGAAGTTAGGGAAACCAACTTTGTGAATGGGCTGTGAGCTGAGGTGATTTATGTCAGTTTGAGGTCAAAACATTTGAAAATCCAATGATCAACACTCTAGTATTTTTATTCCCCAGCTCATGTGAAGGCCTTGTGTTCCAGACAGTGCAGCTACAAGAAAGTGGAGCCTCTTTTGCCTATATTTTCAGGTAAAATGTGGAACAGAGAGTCCCACTCCCGTTCTCCACTAACAAGCCACGTTGGACATACAATGTGAATTAGAAGTAAATTTTGCAATGTAAAGCCACTCAGACTTGAGGGCCAATCTGTTACTGAGAAATAGCCTAGCCTATTCTGACTAATACAGAATATTTGAAGATTAAATTAATTTATAAATACAAGGCATTTACAATAGAATACACATATAGTAAGAAGAAAATGTTACCTTTAATTTTGTTGATTCATCACAATTACTACTATAAAAGGGGCAGAACACAATGCTTTAGGTAGTCTCTCTCTTTTAGTGACCTTTCCATCTTACTACAATCAAAAGAATTGTAATGTGGACTTTCCCAGAGAAGAAAGGTAACCTCTAGTTTAGATAGGCACTAAAATCTTTACCCTATATCTGAAGGACCTATAACTCAGAAAGGCCATAAGACTTGTCCAAAACCACAGTCTGAATTCAAATTCATGTTTTCTATTTCCTACCCTATGCTCTTTCCTGTATACCAGGCTTCTTCTAGTCTGCAGAGATTATCTAGGGTGCTACATTACACTACTGGTGCCAATTCTCCACCCCTTCCTGTTTCCATGGTCTTCCCATCTAACCCTGTGGAGCCTTCCTATTGTGATCCTGGGCTTGGCCATGTGGTTTGCTTTGAACCAACGGAATGTTGGCTAAGTGTGATGCAGGCAGATTCTGAAAATCCCTATATGATTGGGTTTCTTGCTCCTGCCCTCTACCATGACTGAGAAGAACACTCTCAGGCTAGTTTTATGGAGTATGGGAGTCATTTGGAGCGTGTGTGGATGTTAGTCAGCCCAGCCAGCTTAGCCAAGTTTAGTCTAGACCAGCCAATAGAACAATGCAAGTCCCACCAATATCATCAGAGATATCCATCAACACACTCGTGAAAGAAATTCTTGTTAATTGCCACTGAGGTTTTTTTCTTTTATTTTTAGTTGACATTATTGTAGTAACAGATAACTAGGATGCAAGAACAAGTACTTTTTTCAAAGATCTTATATATCTGTGAAAAGTATATATTCCCTGTTTTTCCCTTTGCTTTTGTTTCTTTAAACCCTCCCTAAATAGCGCAGCTGAAAGATTGATGCTTATGCTCTTTGCAAAAAATTCTCCTAGGAAGTGGTGAGGATGCATTCCTGCTAAGTCTCCACTTCCTCCCTCCCTCTCCAGGTATCACCTACTCACCTTATTCGGGAAAGTTGTATCAATCTCCTCCTGTAGTTTCTGCTGCACATCAGGGTGAGTGGCCAACATATACATAAGGAAGGAAAGAGAAGTGCTAGTGGTCTCATAGCCAGCAAAAATAAAGATAATAGATTGGGCCACGAGCTCCAGATCAGACAAACCTAAACGGAGAGGAAAGGCATTTTACATAAAGCAGGTCAATGTACATTATCACAGTTTCAATGATGAAAAATCTAAATGAAATTTCCAAAGCTTAGGGGGAAAACTGAAAAAGCAATTCAGAGTCAAACTGGGAGGGTTTGCACACTGATGTGAGTCTTACAGAGCCAGAAAAAGGCAAAAATTGTCTTAATCCAGCTTTTCCCAAGGGCTATACTATTCTTGGCCATCTGCTCCAGGTTATGCCATTCTCACCACTAACACAGTTGTGTAATTTCAGACATAGCATTTTTGTGTAACATACAGTGTGATCAGTATGTTCTTTGGAGAATCCTAAAAGTAGTTTAGCTACAAGTAATATGGGGTAGCATTCTCCCTCAAGAAAAATTTAAATTATTTTAGATAAAACACACTTGGAATAATTTTGAGAGAGTTTGCAATACTAAGGCTTATGCAGGGAAAAATTAAAGGATCTTTTGTTTAAACATGTTTGCAGAACTCGAGAGAACAGTTGGGCTACAGATACTTGTTACTGAAATATTGTCCATGGGTCAGCAGCATCAGCAGCATCTTGGAGGTTATTAGAAACGCAGAACCTCAAGCCCCACACTAGAATGATTGAATCACCATCTGAACTTTCAAGAGACATGGTGATTTGTGTGCACAGCTGAGCTTGAGAAGCATGAACTACACCTTTAAGAGGCATCCGGTAATAGAAGACCTGGGCAAATGTCTTCAAAATGTGTGATCTCAGATGTGTACAGAAACTACAGAGATAGACACAAAGCCAGAAGAGGGGTTCACTACGCTATTCTAATTAGTAGTATTAAAATAGTAGAAGATCCTTTCCTCTGCGACTCTACTGGGGTTGGAGTACCCCAGCGGAGCTCCAAACACAATGCAGAGGTGCCAGCTTGTAGACTTTGGACAGATGAAGTGCCAGGATGACTTGAAAGTAGGGCATCCTTGGCCCTTCTGAAGACAGGGTTAGTGGCAGGTTAACAGTCTGTGTATGGAGTTTTCAGATGCTTTCACCTGAGTGAGAAACCTGCCTCCATCATGACCCCAGATGTCTGACAGCCAGCCCTGTGTGACACCAAAATAAATAATGGTTGAAAAAAACTACTGTCAATAGACTACTGTGTTGAAAATTTGGATCATGTTTTAAATTTTAATCAGGGAAACAAACCCCAGAGGAATAAATCTGCATGCCCCAAAGGGACACTAATAGGAGGCACAGTGCCTAGGAATTCACACAAAAGAAAACATCCTGTATCTCATAAAAGATATTACATTTAGTTATCATGTCTCTTGATATAGGTTCTTTTAGGCTGTGACAGTTTCTTAGACTTTCCTTGTTCTTGATGACCTAAGAGTTTTGAGTCAGGCATTTTGTAAAAAGTCCCTCAATAAGGATTGAGTTTTTCTCATGATTAGGCTGGCTTAAAGGATTTTGAGAGGAAGACCACAGAGGTAAAATGCCATTCACATCACATATCAAGAGTACACGCTAACAACATGATTTGTTACTGTTGATGTTACACTTGATCACCTGGCTGAGGTCTTCTTTGCCAGGTTTCTGCACTGTAAAGTTACTCCCCTCCACCCAATACGTACATTTTGTAATGAAGTCACTGTGTGCAGCCCACCCTTAAGGAGAGGGGGGTTGTGCTCTTCTTAAAGGTGGAATGTCTATATAAGTTACTTGGAATTTTTCAGAAAGAAATTGGTCTTTTCTCCCCCATTCATTCAATTTATTTATACCACTATGAATTCATTGATATTTATTTTATAATTTGGTATAAAATAAATACTTTGCTTTGCTCAAAGTGTTCCATCTTTGGCCATTGGGAGCTCTTTAGTTGGCTTCTGTGTCCCTTCTATATATTCCCATCATTGTGGCATTATCATTGTGTTTAAGCACATCTCACTTTATGGCACTATAAAATACTCCAGGCTCATTTTGTATTTTTCTTGTTCCAATATCTGAGTAAACCATTCCTCTAAGGAGTCCTGTTTCCTTCATTATTTAATGTCATTAAAATCAAATATCAGGGTGCTAGACATGCTCTTGATACTGAGGTGTTGTTGCTTCTAGACTCTGTCAGCTGATGGAACAATGAAATATATATGTGTGTCAACCAGGATCCATAGTTCATTGCCCTCTGTATTCTATAAATATACAATTTTTAATATTAAAAAAATAGCAGAAGAATGTGTCAATAGAAGGGCATTGACCAGCATCAAATATAGGAAAATGGGCACCAGTAAGTAGAATTATCAACGCTTATTCAATCATAGCCTGAATATCATCTTTCTCAGCACAGGCACCCTCTATTTCCTCTACTGTATGCTCAGCAAATAGCTCTTGTGATCAAATTGGCCTGCTTTTTTATTTTCTCCTGAGAGAAACGAAGCATGTCCTAATTTATTTGATTGGGACTGGATTAGAACTTTTATATACTTAGAGCTCTGAAATAAATGTAGTACTCACCCAACCATGTAATTCACAAGTAAAGACAATACAAAATAAGTGTAAGATAGGTCTACAGAGTTTTGATTTTCCAGTGATGGTTTTTATGATGCTGTTAGGGGTAAAGTCAACTATAAATTTTTTACCCCCGGTTAGCATTTGTCCCAAGTTATTCAAAGTTTAGAGCTGTGCTGTCCTATATGGTAGCCACTAGCCACATGTGATAATTTAATTTAAATTAATTAAAATTAAATACAACTTAAGATTCAATTTTCAGTTGCACTGATTACATGTCATGTACTCAATAGACACATGTGTCTAGTGGTTACTGTATTGAACAATGTAGATATAGAATATGTCCTTTATTGCAGAAAGTTGTACCAGATAGATGGATAGATAGATAGATAGATAAACAGATAAAGGACAAAGAAAGAAAACAAAGAAAGAAAGAAAGAAAGAAAGAAAGAAAGAAAGAAAGAAAGAAAGAAAGAAAGATGTAGATGTGGACATAGATGCAAATATATTTATACTTGTGTACTAGAATCATCTCATCCTTTCTCTCTAGAACCAACTATTAAATATTAAGAAATTTTGTGATATGGTTGTCAAAACATTGGTAGTTTGAAATTAACCATGAAGGGATTATTTATAATGTAGAAATAAATCATGCATCAGAGGTTTTTTTTTGAGAGAGAGAGAGAGAAAGAGAGAGAGAGAGAGAGAGAGAGAGAGAGAGAGAGAGAGAGAGAGAGAGAGAGAGGAGGGATATCTTTACATCACAAGTCTGGTTATGGATATATATATATATTTTTTTTTGATGTTATTAGCTTGTCCTCTAAGGTGATCTAGAAGCAAAAAAGCCCAAGTAGCAATGAGCATTCCTAGATTCCATATTTTGGATTATAAATACCACTTTTCACTAAAGTGAACCATAGCTCCTTGGAGAAAAGACTCACTCCAGGATTGATTGGGGGAAATACAAAGAATCCTAGAGTTTTCTCACACCAGAAACCAAGGAAGTACACAAAAAATAGTAGGTGAAAAGGATACAGGATACTCTGTATAATGGTGAATATATGTCATTATACATTTGTCAAAACCCATAGAATGTACAACACTGAGAGTGAACACTAATGGAAACTATAGACTTTGGGTAGTAATCATTCGTCAATGAAGGTTCATTGATTATAACAAATGATAAACACATATAAGGAATTCTGATAGTTGAGGAGGCTGAGTATAGATGGGGGAGGGGGGAAGTTTGAAGGGAAATCTCTGTTCCACTCAATTTTGCTGTGAACCTAAAACTTCCCTTAAAGATGAATTCTATTGACAAAGTAAAAAAAATTAAAAAGCATGAAAAAAGAAAAAAGTGACCCCAGAGCCCACTTGAAGGACTCCAGTAGACAAAGCTGAGAGAATATGACCATCAAAAATAAGAATGAGGGCTGGCCGAGTGGCGCAATGGTTAAGAGCTGGCTTGGGACGCCAAAGGGCCCCGGTTCGGATCCCACATATGAGGGCCAGTGACACTCCCCTCCACAGCTAAGATGCTGAACAACAGCTCAACCTGGAGCTGGGCTGTCTGTAAGTCACCGGCGACAGCGTAGGCTGAAGTGAAGCTGCAGTGGGTTGCCATGCAGCCAGCAGCCAGCGTGAGCGGCCAGCAGCCACAGTGTGCAGCTGTCCAGAAGCCGGCGATTGATCTGCCTCACCTGGGAAGAGCGCAATGATGGTGCCAACTTGGGCCAGTGAAGCAACGTCCTCCACAAATAGACTGAAGAACAAAACGACAGCAACTTGTCTATTCCCCTTCCCCTAATTTCCCAGCACTGTTCCCATTCCCCCAATTCCCCAAAAAAAGTCTTTATAAAAAAATAAGAATGATGTAAGAGTAAATTTGTAATATATGAAATCAAACTGATATAAATAAATAAATAAATAAACAAACAAATAAAGGAATGAGGAAGAATGGAGAACTCTCCCTCACAATAGAACAAAAACCGTAAATGTAGAAGAAATGCTGGAATTAGAAAATCATCATTTTGCAACCATTACAGTAATAATGATTTCAGTCAAAACCCATCCACGGATGATAAAACTAGCAGGTGAATGTCTGAAGAGAAAATAGAATATTTACTTAGTCTCAAAGGCTTCCACACAACTTACTTATTAATTACAAAGTAAAAACAAAAGTTTACAGTAGATTAAGCAAGTGAACACAATTTCAACCAAGTGTTCCAAGTTAAGGTCGCTCACACTGGGGCAATGTGCTTCCTGATGTGATGAAGCCTTTGTGCAAATTTCCAGGCAGAGACTCTGATTCAGTGGGGCTGATGAGGCTGGAGAAAGCTCCCCAGAGGATCTGATGTAGGTGATCTACATACCACTGACTGAATTCTGGGCACAAAATACTTGTTTATGGTTGCCATTCAAGCTTTGAACAAAGTCATGTATGCGTACTTCTAGAAAGTGCCACTGCCTACCTTCTATCTCTGAACATGTGCCTTCTTTCAATTTGGAGGAAAATCTTATCTGCCTGGGAATCCTCCTGCACATTTTCAGAACCAATCCCCTCCCTCGGAGCTTCCCCATCACTGGCCCTCTAAAGCTTGCCCTTGGTTACCTTTATGGGTGTCCATTTCTTTGGAATTTTGGGAGTTAATCATCAGCTGAAGAAAATCCACTCGGTGCTGGAAGCAAAAGGAGAAATTTCAATGACAGAAAGTCACTTGTGAAATCAGAAATAAATCAGGAGTGCAGTACTAAATCTCTTCCCTGAGAGTATGGCCGTTTAAATCCAGAAATTTAACTAGTGCTGCTTGAGTCAGCAGTGAGCGAAAACATCCATCTGCAGATCCTGGAAAGCAGGATGTGTTTCCCTGAGGGAAATACAGCTGTCATGTCCAACTAAACTGCTTTTTGGTCTTCGCTGTCTCTCATCTTCAACTTGTCTGGTTTTAAACACAGCTTCTTGTCTAAAGATTTGCCTGCTCCCTCTCTTATCACGTCTGTTTGCTCAGGAAGAAGTCCCAGACTTCAATCCTTTTTATTTTCATGACTTAATTCTTAACCAATGGCCACATATCTGAATCCCCTGACATTTGCAGAGTTCATTGGCATATTTTCCATGAGCAGTTTCAAAAGCCCGCCCTCCCAGAACTCTGAACAATCTTCAGTGACACCCTGGGGTACCCAGCCCTGTCCCCCTGACCTGCAGACATTCTTGTGCTGGCCTGCAGACCTTAGGGAGGCAAATCTGGATTAACTAGCTTGCAGCCTCAATGCCCAGAGAAGACTCCTGTCCTCTGCAGTCTCTGACTGGGCTCAAATTAACATAAACTATACTCCAGCAGGTGCCTCATGGGGCATTCCATTGCAGAATGTGTAAAATAAGAGACCATTTCATTGACTATAGATGCCTGACCACTGCACTATACACCTGAAGCTGAAGTTGAATAATATTGAATACCAATGATAATTAAGTATATATAGTGTAGAAAGAGTCACAGGATGTGGAGTACAGAATAGGAAATATAGTCAATGGAATTGTAACAGATATACATGATGTCAGTAAGCTAGTAAATTGGGGGGGATTATCACTTTGTGAGGGGTGTAAATGTCTAACTATTACATTGTTTTGCTTATCTAAAACTAATTTTAAAAAGGAGTCTTGGAATTGAAGTGATTCTTTGCCAATTTAAGATATGGACAAACTATAGTACCAGGAAAATAATTTTTAAACTAATTTTTATACTTTTACAATTTGGAAGTGGTACATTTTTTATCTCAACAATATTTACACAATGACATAATCATTGTGCCTATTATTGCATTTTATTGTTTTTCCGCTTTACAGAATTTATTGGGTTTATAGCTGGACCAAGTCACACGTGTACAAAAGGAAGCTCACACTATCCCAAAGCAGAGTAGGGATTGAGGGCTGGGGATCTGTTGCTGTCCATTGGGGGAGCTCTGAGGTGAAAGACAGCCAACCCTCTCGCTCAAGAAATGCAGCCATGGGGGAGGGGAGGAGAGGAAGCCCACCTGGCTTTGGTCATGGAACTCAGAGCCTGGCATTGGGCCAGGGCAGACATGGATGGAGAAGCAGGAGCCCCAGAAACCATCTTGCCCAGGGAGCCCAGGGACTGCTCCACCAGTCCCACTCACTATGTCATTGGTCCAGACCTAGGTTAAGGCTGATGCAAAGAGAAGGCATCAAAGCAGGAGGGAGGAGACACTGATGTGTGGTGAGGGGGCAGGCACTTGGAGCTGTGGAAGAGTGTGGGTAGGGAGGCAGGCTAACTGCTACTAGGCAGCTAGCAGTGGATCTGATAAATGCTGCTGTGGCCAATGTAGCACACTCATTTGATGACATTATGGTTGCTGTAGTTCAGCTTCGGTTCAAATGCCTTCAAGTAGCACACCTTGAGGCCAGAGGGCACGAATGGCACCTCAAAGTTCATGGAAATGGAGGGTGGAGCTCACTTCTTGTCGATGGTGGGCAGAAGCTCAGTCTCTGCGCTGATCTATGATTCCTTCATGCCTGCCATGCGCTTGATATTCCATGCCACAGCGTTCTCAATGGCCTTGTATTTGGCCTTCCCCTTCTTGCAGATCACCCGCACGCCGCTTGTGTTCAGTGGGGTTGGGAGCCTCACCTCAATCTTCTGTGCCAGTAGTGAGGGCTTCAAGTTAGACTTGATGACCACCTTGACCTCAAGCTTGGTACGTCCCACTTCCTGCACTAGCGGGATCATCTGGAATGAAAGGATGATGTTGTCGTTGGTGGTGTGATGCCTCGTGAGTGAAACTCTCCATCTGGTGGGATGAAGCTGATGCTACGTTCAGAGTCAAACTTGCTGAGTTGCACACACTGGTGGAAGGTGCAGTCATCGATGGCAATTGATTGCTTCCCGCTCTTGCTTGTTTCATCAGCTGTGCCTTTGCCCGGCTTCCTAATGACAATCTTGTCATTCATTCCAAACTTGCACTCAGGCATACCACTCAGATAATCTTCAATACCACCCAGCCTGACACATGGACACTCAGCACCTGCCCCTGAGGGGAGGTTCACACTCTCCAGGACATCCAGGAAGAGCTCCTTTGGCGATACTTGATGCCCTCCTTCTACCGGCCAATCTGCCCAGTCACCTGGCTGGTGATCTGGGACTGCTTTTCTTTTGTTTGATGCTGGCTCTTGATGCCCTGCTGGGTGATGAAGGTTTTCAGCACGCCTGTCTCTGAGTTCTGTGGATCCTAGCCAAAGTCTAGGATCTCATCCAGTAGCTCACATATCAGCACAAAATTGTTCTTGACGTTCTACTCACTGATCTTGCCAAAGTAGGCAGCCATTACATCACACATCTTATAGAGGAATTCAAAGACCATGGCAGCATTGACGTTCTGCTTGGTGACAGCTGCCAGCCAGATGTTGGAACACTTAACATGGAAGAAACTGTTGTGAGCAATGTTGGTGACAGGGTGCACACTTGCTGCCGGGCATGGATAACATTGACCCCAAAGATGTCCACTGTGTTCCTCCCGATGTCGTCACAGTAGACTGGGGGATGAGCACTTCCCCCTTGTGATTATAGATGGATAAACCTCCAATCATGGTGGCACCGCAGCCTCCGAGACCCACCACTCTAACAGATCTGGTGTGTGGCGCCCTGCTCTGCCTGCCTGGCCACACTCCAGATCACAAGATGTCCGCCCACCCCCTGCTTGCCTGCCTGCTGCCTCTCTATTACTGCATTTTAAACACTGTCTGACTCACTCATTTTTTATTTCCTTCCTGAACCTCCATCTTCTTTATTCCCCACAAAATCTTATAACTCTCTTGCTCTAAACTCTAGAGTTCTCTACCTACAACAAGAAAAAAGAGAAGTGCACACATCATATATATACAGCACAATAAATTATCAAAAAGTGAACACAGCCATGTAACCACCACCAGATTTTACCTTTTGTTTATCATGGAGGCGACTTTCTTTCATCCTTTTTATGGATTTTGTGAAAAAATCAGTAACACGTTTTGGAAACATAAAGATATTTAATGCTTCAAAAACTGGAATAAGGAATGGAAAGAGTGCTGTAGAGAAAAAGGAAAGCACAATGAAAATACAAATTGTACCTGGAGCAATTATAATTTTACTACCAATCAGAAGAGTAAAAGACACCAGGCTTCTCACCAGGAGCCATTCTTTTCATGAACTTTGCTCAGACTTCCAAGTCCAAGGCTAGGCCAGGGCAAGTCCACCCATAAGAGCCATCACCAGAGCAGTGAGATTATTGGCAACTTCCACATCTTTGGAGTGAGCGAAGGAACAGGATTAAATACACAGATCTCTTAGCTCTTTAATTATTGGACTAGGTTCACTCTGGATAAACTAAACCATAGTATACTACTTTAATGAGTAGTTTTATTCAAGAAATAGCCAGCATAGAAATAATACAGTGTATGACTTTCAACCACAATAGAATGAAATTAGAAATCAATAACAGCAAGAAAACTGGGAAATTCACAAATATGTATAAATTTAAAAATACCTTTGTATATAACCAATGGGTCTTAGAAGAAATCAAAAGGACAATTAGAAATTACTTTAAGATGAATAAAAATGAAGATACAACATACCAAAATTCATGGATGTAGCAAAAACAGTGCTCAGAGAGAAATTTATGGCTACAAATGTCTACATTAAATAACAACAACAGCAAATATCTCAAATCCATAACCACTCTTTCCTCTAAATACATTGAAAAAAAAAAAGAACAAATGAAACCTGGAGCAAGTAAAAGCAAGCAAATAAAGATGAGAGGAAAAGCTAATAAAATATAGAATGAAAAACAATACAGAAAATCATTGACCTCAAAAGGTGATTCTTTGAAGACATTTAGCTAATCATATCAAAAAAAGAAGAGAATGTTTCAAATTACTAGCATCAGAATTGAAAGAGGAAAGATTATTACTGGCATTAAAAAAATAAAAGGAGTATAAAGGAATATTATGAACAATTGTGCACCAATAAATTATGTAACTTAGATGAATAGGACAAATTTCTAAAATGCCACAAACTATAGAAAGTGACTTAAAAAATAAACAATCTGAATGGACCTATAACAGGAAAAAAGATTGACTTAGTAATCAAGAAACTACTCACAAATAAAAGCTCAAGTCCAGAAGACTTCAATGGTAAATTCTACTAAGTATTTGAAGAAGAATGAATGAACACCAACTTTCCACAAACTCTTCTAAACTATATAAGAGGAGAAAACTCTTCCAAACTCATTCTACAAGGATGGTATTACCTGATACTAAAACTATAGAAAGGTATCACAGGAAAAGAAACCTACAAACCAACATGTCTTATGAATATGGATGCACAAATCTTCAACAAAATATGAGCAAACTCAATCTAGAAACATATAAAAAAGTATACATCAAACCAAGTGATGTTTATCCCAGGAATGCAAGGTTGTAGAATACACTATACCAATAGAACAAAAAACAGAAACCATGTGATCATCTCAATGTCTGCAGAAAAAGCATTTGACAAAATCCAACACATTTTTGTGACAGAAACACTCAACAACCTAGGAATAGAAGGGAATTTTCTCAGCTTGATAATGAGCATCTATGAAAAATTTGTAGCTAACACCATACTTAGTGAAAATCTGGATGCTTTCTCACCACTTCTCACCACTTTTATTCAACATTGTACTAGAAGTTCTAGCCAGGGGAAGTAGATTGGATAAAGAAATAAAAGGTATTGATATAGGAATTGAAGATAAACTATCCCTATTATCAATAACTTGATCTTGTATATAGATAATCCTAAGAAAGTCACTAAAAGTCTATTAGAACTAATAAATAAGTAGGGTTTCATGATACAAGATTAATATATAAAATCAATTGTATTTCTATAAACTGCAATAAACAATCCAAAAGTGAAATTAAGAAAATAGTTCCATTTGCAATAACATCAAGATGATAAACTTAATAAAAGAAGTGCAAAATTTATACTCTGAAGACTACAAAATAGTGCTAAAATAATAAAATAGATCTAAAGTACATAGGAAACCATCCATGTTCATGGCTCAGAAAATTTAATATTGTCAAGATGGCAAGACTTCACCAATCAATGTCAGATTTAATGCATTCCTTATCAAAATACTAGCTGGCCTTTTTTTTGTAGAAATTGACAAGTTCAATTTAAAAATATTATAAAATTGAAAGGGACCCAGAATAACCAAAACCAATCTGAAAAAAAGTTGTAAAACTCACACTTCCCGATTTCAACACTTACCACAAAGCTATAATGTGGTACTGGCTTAAGGATTGACATATAAGCCAACAGAATAGAATTTAGAATGCAAAATAAACCCATGTGTGTAATGTCAACTGAATTTTTAAAAACTTAAATGTATTATTTGATTACAGTTGAGATAAATATAATATTTGTTTCAGGTGTACAATATACATCAGACATTTATATACGCGGTCTGACAAGTAAGTTCACGAACTCATCCTAGAAAAAGTGTTACATACCTCATTGCTGAATATTACTACGGTCACCTTCAAAGTACTCCCCTTGGGAAGCTATGTACTAATGATGCCAGTGCCTAATCCACCCTTCTAGGCAATTTTGGAACTCTTTTTCTAAAATGACCATCAGAGCTGTTGTTCTATTACTCTTGATGTCCTGAATGTCATCAAAATGTTTTCCTTTCAATATTTCCTTTATCTTTGGGTAAAAAAGAAGTCATTGGGGCCCAGATCAGGTCAACAGGGAGGGTGTTCCAATACAGCTATTTGTTTACTGCTAAAAACTCCCTCACAGATAGTGCTGTGTGAGCTGGTGCGTTGTCGTGATGCAAGAGCCATGAACTGTTGGTGAAAAGTTCAGGTCGTTTTCATCTAATTTTTTCATGCAGCCTTTTCAGCATTTCCAAATAGTAATGTTGGTTAACTGTTTGTCCAGTTGGTACAAATTCATAATGAATAATCCCTCTAATATCAAAAAGGTTAGGAACATCGTTTTGACTCTTGATTTGGACTGACAGGACTTTTTTGAATGTGGAGCATTGGCTGACTTCCATTTTGCACTTTGACACTTTGTTTCAGGGTCACGTTGGTACACCCATGTTTCACCACCAGTGATAACCTGGCCCAAGACATCGTCTTGTCTCTCCAATAGGTCTTGGCAAACTTCGACTCTCCTTTGCTTTTGTTCATTGGTGAGCTCTTTTGAGACCATTGTTTGCACACACCTTTCTTATGTCAAGATTTTCAGTTAAGATTTTCCTTACTGTTTCTATATTGATGTTTACTTGGTCTGCTATGCTTCTCACAGTTAGCCGAGGATTTTGATGCACAATTCAACACATTTTTCCAACGTTTTCATCAGTTCTGCTCGTTACTGGCCACTTCTGCCTTCAGAAAAACTTGAATAAATTTGCACACTGCTCTTTTCTTCATTGCATTATTCCCATAAACTTGAACTAACCATGTCCTGATTTGAACTTCCACTCTTCCCAAGTTTAACAAAAAATTTAATATTTGTTCATTGTTCTAATTCAAGCTCTAACATTCTCCTGACAGCACATAAAAACACACAACAATAATAATGAACACCACTCAGCAAGATACTGCCATATGTGTCACGAACACAGCTGTGAGACACTGATGTACCAAGGTTATGAAACCTTACTGAGCCATTTGTACAGGGCTGCTAATGTAAGTGTAAGGTGGCAAGTGTGCAAACTTAATTGTCAGACCTCGTGTACCTTATGATCACCCCTATAAGTCTAGTACCCATCTGACACCATACATAGTTATTACAATTCTATCGCCTATATTTTCTATGCTGTAGTGTATATCCAATGGCTATTTTTTTATATCTGGCAATTTGTACTTCTTAATCCCTTTCAACTTTTTCACCCATTCCCTCAGCTCACTTTCTATCTGGCAACCATCAATTTGTTTTCTGTATCTATGAGTTTGTTTCTGTTTTATTTGTTTGTTTATTTTGTTTTTTAGATTTCACATATAAGTGGAATTATATGGTATCTGTCCTTCTCTGTCTGATTTATTTCACTTAACATATCATTAGGTCCATTCATGTTATCATAAGTAGTAAGATTTTATTCTTTTTTACAGCCAAATAATATTCCATTGTATAAATGTACCACATCTTCTTTATCCAGTTGTCTATTGATGAACACTTAGGTTGCTTCCATATCTTGGCTATTGTATATAATGTTTTAATGAACAAAATGATGAATATATCTTTTCAAAATTATGCTTTGGATTTCATTGGATAAACACCCAGAAGTGGAATTGCTGGGTCATATGGTAGTTAATTTTTAATTTTGTAAGGAACCTCCATACTGTTTTCCCTAGTGGCTGCACCAATTTACAATTTCACCAACAGTCCATGAGAGTTCCCCTTTCTGCACATCCTCACCAACACTTGTTTGTTGATTCATTGATGATAGCCATTCTGACAGGTGTGAGGTGGCATCTCATTGTGGTTTTCATTTGCATTCCTCTGATGATTAGTGATGCTGAGCATTTTTCACATGTCTAAAGGCTATGTGTATGTCCTCTTTTGAGAAATGTCTATTCAGTTTAAGGTCAACTGAATTTTGAGAAGGGTTCTAAGACCTTTCAATGAGGGAAAATAGACTTTTCAAAAAATGGTACTGGGACAAGTGAATAGCCACATGCAAAAGAATGAAGCTGGACTCTTACCTAACATGATATACAAAAACAAAATCAAAATGGATCAGAAAACTAAACATAAAAGCTAAAATTATATACTCATAGGAGAAAACCAAGGGGTAATTATTAATGACATATTTGGCAATGGATCTTAGATATGACACCAAAAGTACAAGAAGCAGAGAAAAATACATAAATTGTACATTATTAAAGTTCAATTATTTGTGCTTCAAAGAACACTATTGAGAAAGAGAAAAGATACCTACAGGGAGAAAAACTCTAATCTTATATCTGATAAAGAATTTTTATCTAGAATATATAAAGAACTCATACAACTTAACAACAAAAAGATAAGCAACACAACTATAAAATGGGCAAAGGATTTATCTAAAGAAGATATAAAGGTGGCCAACAGACATATAGTTGCTAAAGAAGGTATGTCTTTTTTATCTAAAGAAGACATTTATCTAAAGAAGATATAAAGATGGCCAACTGACATATAAATAGTTGCTTAACATCATTATCCATTAGGGGAAGGCAAATAAAAACCACAATGAGATACCACTTGATCCCCAGTAGAATGGCTGTAATAAAAAAGATAGAAAAATGTTGACCAAGTGTTGGCAAGGATGTGGAGGAATTGGAACTTTCATACATTACTGGTGGAAATGTAAAATGGTATATGTATGGTGGAAAAAAAGTTTAGCAGTTCCTTAATAAAGTAAATGCAGATTGGTATATAATTCAGCAATTTAAAACTCTGAGTGGTTGAATCAAAACCAAAAGAAACTGAAAGGAATTGAAACAGGTATTCAAACAAAAACTTGTATGTGAATATTCATAGCAGCACTATTCACATAGCCAAAAGTGGAAACAACCCAAAAGTCCATCAACTAATGAGTGGTCAAACAAAACGCAGAATGGCCATACAATGGAATATTATTCAGCCACAATAAGAAATGAAGTATTGTTAAATGCTACAACATGAATGAGGCTTGAAAACATTATGCTAAATGAAAAAAGCCAGCCACAAAAGACTATATATCATATGACTCCATTTATATGAAGAGTCTAGCATAGGCAAATCTATAAAGAGAAAGTAGATTAGTGGTTGCTTAGGGAGTGGGAGGTGAAAGTTAAAGGGTACAGGGTTTCTAAGTTGACAAAAATGTTTTAACAATGGCTGAACATATCTTTGAATGTAGTGAAACTATTTTTTCTGTTTTATTGAGTTATAATTGACATACAGTTCTGTATATGTTTAAGATGTATGCAGCATAATGACTTGACATATATATATATATATATATATATATATATATATATAT